GAGAGAGAGAGAGAGAGAGAGAGAGAGAGAGAGAGAGAGAGAGAGAGAGAGAGAGAGGACGCCTTATCGAGAAGCTCAACGCATCTTCGGTTCGAACAGGGCGCGTGATGGAATCTCTAGGTACTCCTCCATTCCTTGTCCGACGGGAAAGCTACTGCAGAGAGAAACAGGACAACCGGTTGACCGACATACAGGGCATACACACACGGGTAGGAAAAAAAAAAGAAAAAAAAGGTGTTATTTTCCCGTGAAAACGTGAATTTTTGGCAGTGTAACTACCGTAGTCACATGCTGACCCGTTCACAGCGAAAGCAGCATACGGGGTCTCGAATGTCAGCGGTCTGGCGAGCTGTGGAAGGTAACCTGCTGTAGCATTTTGCGAGCACCTTCGCGAGAGAGAGAGAGAGAGAATGTCTGTATTTCTTGCAAAGGTTGAGGCTGGGGACCTCACAATTCTACCCGGGCAGAATTCTGGGTCCAGTACCCAGTTTCGGCTTGTGCTGGAAAACGGGTCCACCGTTCCCCTGAACCCTATTTGTAATCTGTTGCTGGAAAAAACGGGGACCAGCGTCCCATCTGTGGTAACTTACTGCTGGAAACCGGGTCCAGTGTCCCATCTGAGATGACCTGCTGCTGGAAAAAACGGGTCCAGCGTCCCAACTGAGGTCATGTGCTGCTGAGAACTGGGTCCAGCGTCCCATCTGGGGTGGCCTGTTGATTGAAAACCGGGTTCAGCATCCCAACTGAGGTATTGTGCTGCTGAAAACCGGGTCCAGCGTCCCATCTTGGGTAGCCTGCTGCTAGACACCGGGTCCAGCATCCTGTGGCGAACCATTTTCTGTAATCACATGACTTCTGCGCGAAGCTGCCTTGGGGAAATGGATGGGTTCGGATGGATGAGCTGTGGAAAGATGGGTCGCTCGGGCAAATTGCATGGATGCCCTCGTTTCTTTTTGCTTTTCTGTGGAAATCTGTCGGGTCGGTGTCGGGAAAGTCTCGCGCCGACGATTGGGTAACCGCGCCTTAGCGAGCGCGACGGACAACAGTGGCCATGGCTTCTTTCTTGTTCTGCTGAGAGCACTAGGAGTTTTTGGTGCGATCATCGCGCGGGAATATCGTTTTTTGAATTTTCAACTGACATCGAGCCCCCACGGGCTCGCGGAATTGTTTTTGGGCTCTTTGGAATTTCCTTTTTGCAATTAGGACTTAGGCTAGGAATTTAGGTACTCTGGATTTTGTTGCGCCGCGCTTGCGCACATTTTGCTGCGCTAGGAACTGGGCTCTAACTGGATCGCGCCCTTAATCTTGTGCAACTGTCGCTTTTGGCGGGCGCAATTGTAACTGTATCTTTCTTCTTTCTTGATTTCCTCGTGTTTGCCCGCCTTCTTCTTCTTTGTCTTGCATGCTTAATGCTCCGTCCTAATTGGTCTGAACGCCTGTACGATCGGATCGACTCGTGGAGTGTGGCTATGACCCCCACGCCGCGGCCTGGCCATGCAGATGTAGGCACTTCCTCTCTTCTCCTCCTGACCACTTGGGCTTAATCCCGTATCTCTCGCGCAAGCATGCATGTTATAAATTTTGCAAGCGCGATTAGTTTGCTCTCTAAGAACTTTGGAGTTAGCGCGATCAGTGAGGATCGGCTAACAAGTCAGCTTGAGAGGTGAGTTGATGAGTGAGTTGGGCGATCCGACGAGCTGGTGTCGGGTATGCGGGGTTCACATGCGGGCCGCAACGGACTGTGGCGCACGGGCGAACCTGGTTTGCATCCTCGAACCAAGCGGGGTGACAACTCTGTATTGATGCCCGGCGACGGACTGCCGGCATCGGGAAGTGTAAAGAGAGAGAAAGAGAGAGAGAGAGAGAGAAAAAAAAAAAAAAAAAAACTTTGTGTGGGATGAAGGCTCTTCTTCCAACTCTCTATATAATTTTGAGTTCTCTACTTTGACCGATCTTGTTGCGGCACTCCCGGACTTTCTTTGTAAATCGTTTCGGATTTTCCTTGTTGTCTTTGCTTCGTGTGTATGCATGAAATGGATGTGAACCTTTTTTGAGTGATCTTTTCATATTTTTTTTTAATGATGCATGTTTAATTAACTCGTCACTTTCGAGTATCCGTCTGCGTCGATAATCCGAAGTCTGATTGAAAACACTGGGTTTGATTGTTAGGCTTTGATCGTCATCAGATCACCAAGAATGCTGTGATGCTAGGACGATTGCCCCCTCGCCCCCTCCTCTTCTCTTCCCCTTTTGTTACATGAATGGTAGGAATGTGAACGTAATGACAGGATCTCACCAAAAATAGCATGGGTAGGATAGTTGCATGTAGGCAGGGCACAATCGATACACTTACACGAGAAATCCAAGCCTGATCCACTTTCGTTCATGTGCACGCTCGCGTACGACCACGATCTCGAGAAAACCGAGTCGCAATGTACGCGCGCGTCTGCATGAGTCGAACCTCGATCCTAGCTCACTATAAAGGATGAGGGGGATCGAGTTCACCAGTCGAATATGGCTTTGAAAACCCCCTTCATGATCACCGATCGTGAGAGCCCGAGGGAACCAGAGTATTGCGAATATTTGGAGGGAGAACATCTCAGACGGTGGGGAACCTTGAAAAATCCGGAATTCCCCTTTCTAACTGAGAACGACCGACTGTGCGAGAGAGACTTTCACTGGGCCATAACTAACGATCCTAGGGGCCCAAACTATCCGGAGACTAACAACACTCAATATTATATATCTCCGACCTTCGTCGTTATTAGCACCAATTTCCCTTCCTTCCACCTCCTCCTTCCCTATCACCAGCTCACAGTGGTACCGTGGAATTCCATAGCCCGCTATTGGCCCCGCACATCGTCCGAAAAGTGTCAGCAGCACCAGACGTATCAAGCTTCGAAAATTACCTGGCGAACCCGAATCGAAGTCGAGCGTTGCCAACCACTGTTCGAACCGCACGACAGTCACCACGACCCACTGGTTCACCGGATGAGAAACCGACCACAGCGATGCAACTGGCAGAAACGGTAGTCCCAGATACGATCTTCGCGTACCATTTTGCACCATTGTCACTAAACTTGTCAGCGGAGATCTGAGTTCTGACCTGAAACTCCGCCTCCACTTTCCTAAAATCCTTGGCATACCCCTTTTTTCACACTTTCGGGCCCCCATCCCACTCCGATCCGGAAATCGCGTTGGGCGTGAGGTTGGTATCGGAGCCGACACGTGGTAGATTTGCGGATTAACACGAAAGGTGATTATACCGAATGGTCTAGCGAACAGAGGACGACCGAGGCAGCGGAACTCGCTGCGCCGCGATCCTATATTAACACGGAATAGGACGGCTGGGCGGCAGGCAACCAATATGAATGCGAATCAGAATCTGAATCTGAATCCTGGTCCAATCCCGGCCCCGCGAGCTCGCGCGACCATGGCTCCTCCAGATCTCTATCTTTTTGACCCTGCACATCATCTGGTCGGGTCCTGGCTAGCCACACTACGAGCGCAACAGTATGATAACGATCAAACTCGAATTAACATCCCCGCTAGACTGGGAGGGGACGCGCATCATTGGTTCAACACTTACATTTGGAGAGATCTCCCAACTTTTGAACGAGATTTCCTAAGCCGATTTGACTACATTCATCCGAAACAAGCCTTGTTCATGATTAAGGACCGAGTGCAAAAGCTACTCGAATCTGTCACGGAATACCGAAACCGATTTTATAGGATGTTTGTCAAAACCAAACGAGGAGAAAAAGTCGGGAGGGATCTATTCATCGATGGGGCCCATGGCAGGACCATGAGGGCGAAATTGCAAAAGCAATTCTCCCCGATCAATCATACTCTGCAGCAGATTATGTCTGTAGCAGAAGAAATGGAGCGGAAATTCGCCACCAGTTTCCTAGAAGGGGAAGATTATCCCAGAGAGGGAGACTCTTCGAAATTGGCTAGAGCAAGGGCCGAGCTCGCCACACTACAAAATAAATTCGAAAACATGGGTTTTGTCTCTGGTCCCGTCACCTATTTGGAACACATTTAACAAAAAAAAAGGGGGCAGATGCAACCACGGGATTGCCCATGCCAGCGATGGCCGCTCCTGTACCTGTCGTACCCGTTCTTGCACCCCCTCCAGATACGACGAGTCGAGTCGGTGAGCCGAACGCGATGCTAGAGTTGACCTGGACTTTAGTCCGCCTAATACAAGAAAGCAAGAAGGAGCAACGGGAGTTCAACGCCAGAATGGAATCCTTGATGTGATCGATGCGCCCCATTGTTGTTAGAGGTGCCCCCGTGACACAAGGCATTGCCCCCGCTCAACCAGTGGAAAGGATGGCAGCCAATCTGAGTGTCTACTACACATGTTATCAGTCGGGCCATATCGGTCGGGACTGTCTACACCGACCTATGCAAGCTCGAGTCGGGGTTGCCCCTGTGACCGCTGCGCCGGTGACCAACGGTCCAGGAAGAATAGGAACGATGCTTGAAGAGATAGAAGGGGGGGGGAGCACGATAACCACTACCGAGGAAGCAGCGGAACTTATCCCGCTCGATCAATATATCGCCTTAGGATATCCGGGGTTGGGAATGATCGAAACCATCCAACCGACGGACGAGCGAAAAGAAGTAACCAAATGGAGACCTTCCCCAAATGAAATGGAGTCCGACGGTCCTACCTTCGTAACAGGAGAAATCGATATTTTGAACATTGTTCGGGCCTTGGACCATCGGATTCCATTACCAATTGGACACTTACTGTCTATATCAGAACAATCTAACGAATGCATGTTGCAGCATTGCAAGGCAAACAGAAAGCGGTTTGCTCTTAATAAACCGACAACGACAAAGGGGAAAGTCTCAACTCCCAATGACAAGCTCGAAAAGCCCAGCACCTCATACCCAATATGGTTGGGACTAATCCAAAAGGATGATCATTTCCTACGCATTAACTTGAAAGTCATTCCGTGGAAATCCGCAGAATGCGACATCGAAGTGCTGGGAGTCCCGTACAATGCTGTCATCGATTCAGGAACAACCGTTCTGGCCATATCACTGAGGGTAGTGTAAAAGGCAGGACGATGGAAATATCTGATCACGCTAACCGAAAAAGATCATATCGTCTCTGCGGATGAAGAAAAGATAAAAGCAGTGGTTAGAATAATGAATGTCGCCTTTCAATTAGGAAAAGTTCATGCTTTAGGGGATGTGGTGGTATTGGATGTCAATACCTATGATGTACTTCTGGGATTACCGACACTCGTCGCGCTACGAGCCAATCTGGATTTCGAACGACGATCGATAATTTTACTAAAGACAGGTGCGAAACCATATGTTATCCCAATCCGTTTAACTTTG